AATTCCGGGTCCAGTTCAGTTCAGTAAATTAATATCAGTTCAGTTCCGTACTTAACCGGTTCCAGTTATACCGATTAAGTCCGAATATCATGTTAAGTCGAGTAGAGCATCTTAACATAATTAATCAGTTAATTTATTAGTCTGAGCATAGTCATTAGTAATTGTTTACATTATATTTCAGTTTGATCAGGACACGAGCATCAACACTACCTTTATTTTCACGGATCAGGTGGGGACTCAGACTAAGTACTACATTGATTATAATTACGCTACCATGTTTGAGGTATGTATTTCATGTTATGTATCCGCTCGGAATGGTCGCCGGTCCATTCTGGGTTCTAGTGGCCTTAGTCTGCCCACTAGAGTGTGCACATGGTGTCCGACATTTTTAAGCTGGCAGATGAGGTAACGGTCATGGTTCACGTTCACGTGATGATATCAGGTTCATGTTCATGTTATTACCGGTTTCATGTTCAGGTTATGTATGTACCAGGATCATGATATTGTTATTATAGTCACTGTTTACTTTAGTATCAGTTTCTGCGGAGCACAGTATTTTAGTGCTCACGTCCCCACGTATTTCATGTTTTTCAGGTTACAAGGTCGGGGACGAGGAGTGAGCTGACGAGCTGTTCAGGATATTTGTTTTGATATGTATATGTCATGTTTTGGATACACTACATTTCCGCTAAAACTTTCAGTACTTAAACTCAGCTTTTGATCCGACGTTAGTCGGTTAATACATTATATAACCATTTTTATTATAAGTTTAAAATTAACGGTTTTTCAGATAAAAGTCAGATTTTCACAGTAGCACTCCGAATCAATTTTCGCAAAATAAATATTTTATTAAATTTGCAAAAAAGCGTACTCTGATTTCAGTAAAATAGCGGGGTGTTACACATATACTATCATAAGATAAATAAAAAAAAAGGAGAAAATATGTTAACAGACCTTTCTTCTGATATATAATATATGTTCAAGTTATGATCAATATACCATATACTCAAGTTCTTTTCAAGCAATGTTCAATTTCTGTTCAGTACACGTTATAAAAGGAAATTGTTTCAAAAAAGCTTATCGACCACAAAAACAATAAAAATAACAAAAAAGTAACAATTACCTTGCATTGGGGGAGATTTAAGAAGGTTCTCTGCAGAAAAAGGCGGTTGTAACTGTCGTGTACTTCCCATTTCAATAACCTTGGTATATCACGGTCACCAACGGAAGTGCATATTACACCTTCAGCGGTGTCACACACCTCGTAGAACCACGTCTGAAGAGCCAATATAAGGCCATAACACCTGTAAAGATATCCAGCACCCTCAGGCTTCTCATAAATGTGCATTTGCTCTCTACTACGAATTGACTTCTTCATATAGTAAAAAGTGAAATAAAAAACTTCTTTCCCCCACGCGTGGTCGTCGCACTCTGGACTGTCGATCAAGTCAACTGAGCAGCGGTCAATGCGAAGTGCTTTATGTGAGCCCATTAGAAAATTTGCCAGTAAGTGTAGCTTGGCAAATTTCACCGCATCCTCATCACTGGACCATGCTTTCTTATGAAATTGCCACCTGATGTGGTTGCGTCTCAATTCTACACCATTTAGATACTTGTCATGTAGACCACCAGAGATCTTTGAAATGTTATGTTTTTTGGTTTTGCCAATGCATCTCAGTCCGGTTATGACAAAAAATTCCTCTATCCCGAAACGAAGCAACTTCCCTCCAAAATCGAACCAAACCTCATCGCTCCTATTCTGATGAACCTCGCGGAAGAGAATTTGATTGATGAGTTGGTTTTGTACGATGCAGTGAGGGAGATCAAGAAACTTCCCAAATGGTGTTCTCCTGAATGCTTCTAATTGTTCAGTCGTAAGAGTCCTCTTGATATCGTTGATAGTGGATCGATCTTTGCGCTGTTTTGGGCCTTCACATTTATGTCCCTGGTGTGCGGGATGAGCAATTGCCGTTCCTGGGAAAATGAAAAATAAGACACAATAAATTATACAAATGTATTATGTTCAATATAAGCATGATCTGTTCTGTGCAATATACTTAAAATATACCTACAACTATGCCCATAAAAAAATAAGTGTTCACTATAAGCATGTTCTGTTCAAAGCAAAATACTTGTAAGTCAGTGTTGAATTGCAAGTGTTCTATTCAGACTTTAAACAATTGTTCATTTCTGTTCGACATAAGCATGTTATGGTCTGTTCAATATACTTGAAATGTACTTAAAAACTATGCCCTGCAACTATGACAAATATTCCATAAAACACAGATAAAGGATCTGATGCATGGGAAAAGCAAACTCAGATTTTTCTAAAAAAAGCGCCACGTAAACATAGATAGGTAACTACACATATAAACATCCACGTTGATATTATGATCTCAGTGCAAAAGGAAACATAGTGTACTGCCTATCAATCTTGCGATAAATATTTGAAAAAAAATGAAATATATCTGTATAAGCTCATATCACTTCTTACATTTTTTTCATTTTTGAAAAATAAGCCTTGCATATGACAAATGGTTGCAGAATTAACTTAAATATCATGCAAATAAAGTTGCATATATTAGAATGCTGGAATACAACTATAAGTAAACCTTCAATATAAAGGTAACATACTACACATACACTTGAGTTATACTAAGTATATCCAAAAAAAACAAACAATATTTGTTGACATATTAAATAAGTGTGGACCCTTAACATAAGAAAGTGTGAACCCTTAACATATCAACCAAAAAAATTAGAATAAAAATTGTTGCTTAAAGTGTAGACCATTAACATAATAAACAAGCTGTCAATATCTTATAAGAAACACAACATAAGGAGTGTACAAAGACAAGCCGCCCCACCATATCATAAGAAACAAACCATAAGATATATACAGAGACAAAAAAAAGTTCCACCATCTAGAGTGTGGACAACCAACAACACACAATATGTTATGTACCAGTATAACACAGTAAACAAAATTACTTCAATTAATCATATAAATTACCTTATATGTTATTCCTTTGTGTGAATCTCAGCTTTGTGACAGCAGATTTATCCATTCTTCTCTTCTTCAAAACGTTGGCTTCAACTCTTTCTTTTTTGGTCAATTTTTTCCTTTTCTTCGTCGGCATTTCAAGTGGGGAGTCATCTTCTTCAAGATCTTCTTCGCTTCCAGATTCGTCTGGTTGGCTTTCACACTCGAAATCAGAGTCTTCATCGCTCAAAACTCGTGTTTGCTTTCCCAGTTTACGATGTCGCCGAGTATTTTTTGGATTGTTCGGGACTGATTGGAAGTCGTCTGAACTGGGAGAAGGTACCGGATTTTTCATTCTCGCCTTGCCGATTAACTTGCGACTATGTTTAGGGTTCGAGTTTTTCTCAAAATTGAGCTTTTCTTGGACGAGCTTTGGTTAGTTTTTTGGGATGATTTTACGGAGCCGGGCACTAGATCTAATAATCGGTGAAACGTCGCCAACATCTGCCGGATTTCTTCAATTGAGATGAGGAAGTTTGGTTTTTGCCATTGATTGTTGAAATGGGCGACAAAAAATTGGGCGGTTTCTGCAGAGGAGATGGTGGGGCGGTTTTCACTTTTTTGTTTTCCCCTTTCCACTTTTTTTGGTAAATGATATTTAAAATCCCTTAATTATCTCCTTATCATTAAAACGTGTTGATAAGTGTTAAGTTAGTTTTTAGGTAAATTTGATAATTTTTTATATTCTTCAGCTAAAAATAAAAATAAGTATATTTGGAGTGGAAAGTTGTAAAAAATTTAAAAGAGAATGTAAGGGGTGCAATTTTCTCAA